CCGGTGCAGGCGCAAGCGCGGGGGCGCCAAGGACTGCCTGCTCGCGCCCCACGCCGGCGCTCGCCGCCTGCTGCTCCTGCCCAGGTCCTACAAAGCCAAGGCGGCAGCGGCAGCGGCGGCGGCGGCCGCTGGGGCCACTTGCCTGGAGAGGTTTCATCTGGTTAACAGCTTCTGCGCGCCTCCCCACCACCACCACCACCATCACCACCACCACCACCACCACCACCACCACCACCACCGGGCCCAGCAGCCGCAGCCGAATCACCATCCCCCTCATCACCACCGGCCGCAGCCCCATCTGGGCAGCTTTCCCGAGAGTTGCAGCAGCGACTCCGAGTCCAGCTCCTACTCGGACCATGCAGCCAACGACTCTGATTTTGGCTCCAGTTTGTCCAGCTCCAGCAACTCTGTGTCCTCGGAGGAAGAGGAGGAGGAGGGAGAGGAGGAGGAGGAAGAGGAGGAGGAGGAGGAGGAGGAGGGGGGCAGTGGGGCCTCAGATTCCAGTGAAGTCAGCTCGGAGGAGGAGGACTCGTCCACGGAGTCGGACTCCAGCTCCGGCTCCAGCCAAGTGTCAGTGCAGAGCATCCGTTTCAGGCGCACCAGCTTCTGCAAGCCTCCCAGCGTGCAGGCGCAGGCCAACTTCTTGTACCATCTGGCCTCCGCCGCCGCTGCAACCAAACCCGCTGCTTTCGAGGATGCCGGCAGACTTCCCGACCTCAAGAGTAGTGTCAAAGCGGAGTCGCCCGAGGAGTGGAATCTGCAGAGCTGGGCCCCCAAAGCGTCTCCGGTGTACTGCCCGGCCAGCCTGGGGAGTTGTTTCGCAGAGATAAGGAACGATAGGGTATCTGAGATTACATTCCCACACTCGGAAATTTCCAGTACTGTAAAGAGAACTGACCTGACAATTAACTGCCTGGCGGAGGGGGCCTCTTCACCTAGCCCAAAGACAAACAATGCATTTCCACAACAAAGAATACTCCGAGAGGCTAGGAAATGCCTACAAGCAACTCCTACTCCACACTGTGCAGATAACAACACAATAGCTGCTAGGTTCTTAAATAATGATTCTTCAGGAGCAGCAGCAAATTCAGAGAAAGATTCCAAAATCCCTCATTGTACTGAATTTGCTACGGATTTGCCCTCGTCGCAAACTGATCCTGAGGTGGATGCAGCAACAGCAGCAACTAAAGCCGAGAATCCCTGCACTGACATAGGCGACAAGACATTGCCATTTCTGCACAATATTAAAATCAAAGTAGAAGACAGTAGTGCTAATGAAGAATATGAACCTGACCTTATTGCAAATAAGCTAAAGTGCGAGTGCAATGATACAAAAGGGGAGTTTTACAGTGTGACTGAAAGTAAAGAGGAAGACGCCTTGCTAACCACAGCCAAGGAAGATTTTGCATGCCCTGAAAGAGAAACTCCTTCCTTAAATCCACTGGCTCAGAGTCGGGGCCTTACATGCACTTTAGGTTCTCCAAAACCTGAGGATGGGGAATATAAATTTGGTGCCAGGGTGAGAAAAAATTACCGGACACTAGTACTGGGAAAGCGACCTGTCCTTCAGACACCTCCAGTCAAACCAAATCTGAAATCAGCTAGAAGTCCTCGTCCTACAGGTAAAACCGAGACACATGAAGGAACACTGGATGATTTTACAGTTATAAACAGACGCAAAAAGATAGCCAGCAATGTAGCATCAGCAGTGAAAAGGCCATTTAATTTCATGGCAAATTTTCCTTGTCCACCATCCCTCATTATTGGGAAGGATGGGGATTTGTGGCCGGCGTATTCCTTAACCACCACTAAGGATGTCCAACCTCCTCACAAGGCCCATCCGATATGGAAATGGCAGCTGGGCGGTTCTGCAATACCTCTACCACCTAGTCACAAATTCAGGAAATTTAATTCATAAAAGTGTTTTGGAAGATATTTTCTTGAACCATATTACCTTCCTTTTGTTGTAAACTGCACAGGATGGTTTGTACAAGTCCATTAATGTGTTACACCCCTTTTGGAGTCCTGGTTTATCGCATTTTGAAGACAGAAATCGGATTACTTTTTTTTTCCATTGCGGGTTTTTTTTTTTTTTTTTGGAGTAGGGTGGGGGCGGGGTGGGAGCAGGGTTGGTTTACATTCCACAGACTACTTCAGGCTAAAGACTCAAGTAAAACTCAGTTATTACGGTAGAGCTGGAACACTTTACTGTTTCAATGCTAATAATGCACCGGTACCTCAATTCAACTGCTACAAATAAATGTCAAAAGGTTGAATAATAAATATTACAATGAGCCATTAAGTTTATGCACTAGATTTCAGACCTGAAGGTGTAACTGTTAATTCAGTGAAAGTTTGTTAGGTTATGTGGTTACACAGCGAGGTAGCAAGAAGTTTCTGTGAGCCCAAAATGTTCTTTTCTAGAGCTCTTGTTTGTGGGGTATCTTTTTCTTTTTCTCCCCTCATTCCCTCTCCAAGCGTAGTTGCACTTAATTTTTTTTTTTTTTTTCTTTTTGAGTGGAAAGATTGAGGAGTCCTGATTGAATGCTGGTAAAAACTGCCTCATATATACTGGGTAAAATAAATATGAGATTGTAATTTTTTTTTTTTTGTAAAGGGTGTGATTTTACTTTTACAGCCACTCCTTGCAATTGGAAAACTCCTTTTTGTCTTCTCACCCAAAGGTTTTAAATAAGGTGACTCTTACTATTGTCCTGCTTACCTGTGGTCTGAACATGACTCCTCAAACTTGCAAAACAATTAAAATATTTCTGTTAATAGCAGGATATTTTATGGTCTGACTCTGCAGAGTGACAAAGCAGTAAATACAACCAAGAAGAGTAAAATAGGTCAGAGTTGTAAGACTACCCTAAATGAAAAATAACAGTTATTTCAGGGCTTTTGATACCAGAACTCAGGCACTTGGATTTTATTACCTTTTACTTTTTCTGCATCTCTCTAAACTTCTGTTTTCAGACCATCCTGTGTATAGAGCAGGAGAGTTTCTACTGCAAGTGACAATCAGAGGTGACTATCTATATTTGCACTTAAAATCAAAGTAGTTCAACATGCAAATAGCTAGGGTCTAGCCCTTGGTAAGGGCCTTGCTGGTGTGCTATGTTGTGATGATGGAAGCAGTAAATCAAAATTATGGAAATTTGCACTGTTGAAAAGCATGCTTTAGCTTTATTTTCAATTAAAAACACTGTTTAAAATTCCTGGTTCCATACATTTCTACTTATTCCAGATTGAAGAACGGTTAACAGGAATGAATGGTTTTGTTGACATTTTCACTTGTAATGTTTTTGCCTGAAAGAAATGCATCTATTGGGTGTAGTGTTTTGTTGTAATACCATGTGATGAGGCCAGTCAGGTTTTGTGCAAAACATTGGTGGATTTCTTCCTAAATAACAACAAAACTTTACAAACTTGTCACAAATCAAGTGTAAAAAGTTTCAGGTTTAAGAAAGCAAAGCAGAGATCAATTGCTATTTTAATGCAAGTTAAATCTAATAATTTTTTGGCCCACCTCCCTTAGTCTGACAAATTATATATCTCAGATCTCTGCCATCTTAAACCTAAGAAGTTGCATCTATAGATCATAAATCATAAAACAAAACAAAACATCAAGGAAATGTTTACTGTGTGAATTTAAGTCACTATTTCTCATGGAAATTCAGTGTTTTTTTTTTTCCTTAACCTTTTAATTCCTACTCCCTTTGAAATTTTTCTTTTGTCTATAAATGTTTCAGATAGATCTGGATGGTCTCAGCCCTAATTGCTGTATATGCTCTGTGGTTTTACCCTTATTGTAAAGGACAGAGGCTGAGAATACCTCCATCCAAATACATTTAGATGGAGTAAACAGATGCTTTGAACTGCCTCCCTTCCTTTCCTTCTTGAATGTTGCCAGATGTAGTTTCACTGGATCCTTTTTTATTGGGATGATAGATATGGTCAAAGCAAAAATTGGGGGATGTTATCCTTGAATTCATGTTTGTATATAATTCCAAAGACCAGTACAAGTTACAGTTAAAACCCCAGAAAGCTGAACAATTGGCTTCTCAGTCTGAGTCCTTTGCTCTTTAAAAAGCAATCCAGAATTTGGATGCAGTGAGTTGTCCTGCAAAATCAGTCTGTAAAAAGTGTGACATGTACACACTGGAAGTCTGTAATTTCGACTCTTTAAGTACTGCTAAGTCAAGAAAGTTCAAAGAATGATGACTACTACATTTAGACCAGTACTTTTCTTGTTGGCTATGGAATCATTGTTCCTAAATTATAAATGGAGAATATATTTGAAGCCTGCAGATCTTGGGTGTGGGAGAACCGAGAGATGGAATAAGCACAATTTAAAACAAATATACCCTATGGAATTTCTGACATAAAATATCGGCCTCCAGCTTTGACTCTTGGTCTCCAGCCCTCAGAGAATCAATAGTTTCAGTTTATAGGAGCTGGAGAATGAGCAGCATGGAGGCCGAGGCATTACAGAGTGATACCATCAAAAGGAAAGAAATTAAATAGTCAACACGAATTTCACCCCACAGCACTACTACAAGCCAGCCAACCACAGCAAACCTGAGTTGGGGCTTCTGTTAGGAAAGTGTACCAGATAGTATTCAGTAACTTACAAAGACAAGGTATTCTTTCAATTTCTGGTAGCCCCTTAGCTGTTTTCCCATTCTGCTGTGGGAATTATTCTCAGTACAGTTTATTTATTTCATTTTGGTTGTTTTATGATTAATGACAATATCTAGATTTTCTAAGATGCTATAAATGTCCCATTTGTTCAAAAAGTTAAGCCTTATTGAGAGAAAGACAGAAGTTACCTCCATGGATAGATTGCATTTTTATATTTAAATGTTTTCAGGTGATAGATTTTTTTTTAAAAAAAAAGGAACTATATGGTTCCAGGGTCACTGATTCTGTGTCTAAAGCTCAACACTCACAGACATAAGGAAAATGCAAGAAAGGGCTCTTTCTTTGACTTTTTGGGAAAACAAGCTTATTTTTGGTCTCCTGTAAAAGTGGTTTCCTGCTAAGACTGTGAAATGAAGATTTAATTATTTTTTTAAGAGATGTGTGTACTCTGTCTTCCGCAGTCAGGTTATCTGCCTTTTTAGAAAATGCAGCTTGCTCTTTTTCAACTATTTACTTTTTAAAGTGGGTGTTCTTTTCTACTGACTTACTTGATTACAGTGGAGTAATCTCAATAATGGTTGTTTATTTTAAAATCAACAACAAGGAGCCACCACTAAACAGCAATAACACAAACTTGATGGGCTGGTGTGTGGATTTTTATCTTATCCGTGTCTGGGTGACTTTCAATGGTCTAGAAATTCCTCAAAGTTCCAGTCACAAGAATTGCAAGTTTCTGCTGATATGAGAATGATAGTTTTGTTTGCATGCAGGAAGAGATGTAGACTAATTCCTCAAAAGCTTTTTTTTCCTTTCAAAAAAAAACAAAAACAAAAACCCTCCATGGTAAAAAAAAATAATAATAATTAATTAAAAAATAAAGCATTCGCATCTACAAAAAGACAGAAAATGTGGTGAGTTTTGCTTCACCTTGAAAATAACTTCCTGCTGAAAAGGATGTGAAAAACGGAGTCCCTAGAGCCAAACCAGGGGGAAAAAATTAAAGGCTCCTCATCAACTAACCTCAGGAAATTGGCAAGGAGGAACGGGGCGTCCACCTTAGGGAGTCCACTGGTCACCCCGGTCTTCCCCAGGATGTTCCCTTTCCCTTGAAGGAAGAACTATTTTCAATGGTAGCTTTGGTTGTGGTTTGTTCCCTAGGCCAAAGGGCATTTTGCAAACTAGCCTGGGGGGGGGGGACAGAGGGCAGATCTAGGAGGTGGGGGAGGGCTGCATTTTACCTGTTTGGCAGGCCCTCTTGTGCTGGGGGGAAAAAAAAGAGGAGGGGGGCCCAGCTATCATTCTTTGCCCATGCCCTAGGCCCCCGCTCCTTTCTCCCTCCTTTTCAAACTGTGGCGGCCTCACAAGCTCCTACTTTAAAAGGCCTGAGATGTTTTGCATGAAGCCCTCACAATAGGGGTTGAGGGAATTGACAGTTTCAAAAACAAGGCGTTCAGTCCTTTCCAGCTGCCGGGCCCGCTCTCTCGCACCAACTCCTCGTCCCTCTCTGCTGGTGGCGTCCTCCGGAGCGAGCTGCCGGCCCCCACCCCGCCAGCCTGCATTCCGGCCGGCCCCACCCCGCCCCCAGGCTGTGTTTGTAAACAGGGGTCAGTGTCCAGGGGCTGCTGGCGCGGGGTTTGGGACTGGCGGGCTGGGAGGGAAGGCAGGGGACGGCCGAGCGGGCGAAGGGCCGGCCCGGGGGCCGAGGTGGTTTCGGAGTCCCTTTCCCCCTCGTTTTCCCCCTGGACGCCGAGCAGCTCTCAGCTCTCTGGCCTGGGCCACCACCCCCAGAAAGATGTTTAAATGCCGCCATTTTGCATAGTGGCAAACAAATTTCTTTGTGACTTTTTTTTCCCGCCCAGATCTTGCTCGCCTCTGAATTTGGGACCCGCTCGCTCCCCGGGCGCAGGAGCCCGCACCCCTGTGCCCGCGGTCCGCAGCACCTCCCGCGTCCCATCGGCCTGCGGCCAGGCCCACCCGGAGAAGGGGGCGACAAGGCGCGCGGCCAGCCTCGGCCCCCTCCCCCGGGCCGGCCCTCGGGGACTGGACCACCTCCCCCACTTTGCGCTCCTTTTGTGTGTTCGGAAGTCATCTCCCACCCCCGCACACGCACACGCCGCCTAGCCATTTCTCACCTTCTCGCCCAGGCCTCATCTCTCTTCCCAGGCCAGTGGGGCCCGGCCTTTTGCATTGGGCGGAGGGCTGGCCCAGGCCTCCAAAATGCTTGTGTGGAACGCAAGTGGCAACGAGATGGGGCTTCACCCTGGGCCCGCCAGCATGGCTGCGAGCGCCTCCTGGGAAGTGGCCCAAGACCAGAGGCCAGGAGTCTGGGGAGGGCGCGGAGCCCAGGCCAGGGCCCGCGGAACTTCCAAAGTGGAGAAATGGGATGGGGCAAGTCTAGCTTTCTTTAGCGCCGTGGTCCCTGTCCC